AAATAGGAAAATTTTCATTGCAATCGCGCTTGATGCTGATTTTTCTGGCTATTTAAACTTGCGAATGCTTCCAGCCAAAAGCGCGCTCGCCTCAAAAAGTCCGTAACAAGTACGAACTTGATTAGTAGACACTCTGATCTGAGAATTGGGAAATTTTCATGAAAATCGCACTAGATTCTGCTGTTTTTGTAGGTGTTTAAACAGGGATCCAAAAGTGAACGTTTTCAGCGGCAGGCACGATCTCCTTGAAAAAATTCCCCACTATTAATCTGGGGCAAGTAAGAATTTGAAACTTTCGCAAATCATAGTCGATAGCTTAATCCGAAAACTGAGAAATTTTCAATAAACTCGCATTGGATCCGAATTTTTTTCTGTAGTTTAATTGCGAATCTAAAAATGAAAGTTTCCAGCCAACTATCAATTCGTTAGGTACTACTAATCTGGAGCAAGTATCGACTTGAAAGCTCCCCATGATATAGCAGACATCTGCATCTCCACATGGAGAAATTTGCATTGAAATCGCACTAGATTTAAATTTTTTTCCCGCTGTTTAAACACGCGCCTAAAAAATGTTGTTTAAGAACAAAAGCGCGCCCTCTTTAAAAAATTCGTAACTACTAATCTGGAGCAGGTACAAACTTGAAAGTTTCGCAAGATAGAGCAAACAACTGCATCTCCACGTTGAGAAATTTGCATTGAAATCGCACTAGATTTTGATTTTTTTCCCGTTGTTTAAACACGCGCCTAAAAAATGATGTTTAAGAGCAAAAGCGCGCCCTCTTTAAAAAATTCGTAACTACTAATCTGTAGCAAGTTCCAACTTGAAAGCTTCGCATGATATAGTAGACAATTGCATCTCCACATGGAGAAATTTGCATTGAAATCGCACTAGATTTTGATTTTTTTCCGCTATTTAAACACGCGCCGAAAAAATGTTGTTTAAGGTCAAAAGCGCGCCATCTTTAAAAAATTCGTAACTACTAATCTGTAGCAAGTTACAACTTGAAAGCTTCGCATGATATAGTAGACAATTGCATCTCCCCATGGAGAACATTGCATTAAAATCGCAATAGATTTTGATTTT